AGGTCAGGTTGGACGGGGCTCTGAGCAACCTGATCTAGTTGAAGATGTCCCTGCCCACGGCAGGGGGGTTGGACTAGATGACCTTGAGAGGTCCCTTCCAACCCAAACTATTCTATGATTCTATGATTACCAGCCCTGTTTAGGTGCATGTTAAAACCTAGAGTGTATTGGAAAATATGATCAGAAAATATTTTGGGGATTTAGCATACAGAAATGAGATAATCCCCCCTATTTAAAGTTGTGCAAGTTTTGATAGCAATAAGTACTTTCTTCTAGCGAAGAGTGACCTAGTGTGAGTTAGAGCGAGAAATAAAGACAGACTCACATACTACAAGGATCAGTGGTCTGCAGACCCACCACAACCGTTTCTTCCCGATTTCCCATGTTTAGCCCAGTTTCACAAACCCAATGCTCTTACTGGCACCTAGTGGTGGATGGAGACACTAACACCAGCAGCAGCTTCTCTCCGATAAAGGGGATTAGTCCATTAGTCAATACGGAATTTAAAGAAACATATCTAGTATATATCATGTATATTTTGGTGGGATATTAATACAGTGAAGAGAAATCTGAAAATCTTACTTGCAGTGCCTTGTAGAAAGACAAGCCAAACAAGCAGGGCAAAAAGCTTAAAAAAAAATCCAACCCAAGGAACAGTGCATGCCTTAGCATGGATTTTATAATTAACTGTACAGGGCTGCCTTTGAGCAATGCAACTGTGGAAATAAAAGAGGATTTGCAAACACAGAATGACCAAAGGCTAGTTTTTGTGCGGGTTGTTGCTCAGTCCACTACATCAATCCGTGAAGACCCATGAGAAATGGTCTCCTACCTCCTCCCCTCCATAAAACTGAGGAGAAATAGGAGACAGTACAGAGGCAGACTGCTCCGAAGCGAATGCGGTTTGCAGCTCTGTGTCTGCATGAGAAGGTATTTAGGGCTCCAAGCCTATTTCGTTCCAGCCAAAGAGGGCCCTCTGCCATCCCTGCTACACAGCCACCCAAACACTGTGCCTACCGGCCACAGCTTCCCAAAGAAAAACCTGGGGGAACACAAATGTCCGTACACCACTGCTGAGTTTCCCTGACACACCTGTGCTGTTTCTTTTTTTATTTTCAAAAGATTTCAATCAGAACTCTTCATTTTCTGACACAGGGATCCTTCTGCTTATTCATACACAGGTATGAGGATCCTCTCTGAGACCCTGCAGAATCAAGGAAGGTCTTCAATGCTACGTGGGTTTTGCATCCGACCCTGACTGACTCCGTCCCTTACATGCCGCTCACAATACTTAAGTTTATTGTAGATGTTTTCCACTGCTAAAGGATCAATCTTCTGAGCTGTTAAACTAGCTCTCAACAGAAATGATCTCTGTGTGGTTTTACTAACAGTAATATCACTTAGATTCCCTAATAGAAACATTTTAGTACCTGAAAATATTGCTGTTCAAGATCATATTTGTCCTTTGAAGTATTTCACCACTTAATTTATGGATAAATGGACTTTCCCTAAACATATGCATTAGATTAGCCTTCGACACACCATTCCTCCAGCACATGTCATTTACTTTGATCCCTATTTCAGTCATCCTGGATGGAATCCAGATAATTCTAAAAAGTGCTTTTTGCTGTATGAATCTCAGCTGTAGGTTTATGGTTCGCTGAAGGTTTGAGACTTCATTAAAGCACCACAATTTGCTATCTATAAAGGTTATGGTTTTGTTCCATGTATTTCCAACTCTTTCAAATGAATATTTGGTAGCAGAAGGTAATAAATTCTGGTATAAATGTATACACACACGTGTACTTTGAAAGAAAGGAAGAAATGCTTCATGTTTACCTGTAGCTAATGATCTAATGCATTTGAAAAAGAAGGGACATTTTTAATGCACTAGGAAATAAACATGATGAATGAATCTCTTATCAAATACCATTTTTTCCCCCCTCATTGTTAGTGTCCTCCACAACATAATGCATTCATGGAAAAAATATTTTCAGACCATTTTGCACATTTAATAATTTTCAATTTTCTTAAAAGGTTTTTTCTGTAAGTTTTTTTTTTTTTTTAATTTCTCTCTATCAGTCTGTAAAGCTCAGCATTATTTTATGCTTTAAACAAAAGTACCTATATTCTCTGAGAGCTGGATGCTGCAAAAAGCAGCATGACTGTTTGGTTATAGTGTTGGTTTGTTATTAGTTTAGCAGCAGAAGCAATTCCCTTCAGTGCTCTTCTCTCTTCATGTCAGCCTGTCAATATCTATCGTCTAATATAAAGGATGTCTAAATTGAAGGAACATTTGAAGGAATTGAATGAACTCTTCCACAGCTTAATGATTTAAAACTTCTCTAATTTATCTGAATTTTTCAGATGTATTTTTATTTGTCTTCAGAATATTCTGCGATGCTGCACTAGCTTCTGAAATCATGTTATTTAAAAGCGTTTATTAGCAAACCTTTACAGAAAAACGTACATTTAATCAAATGTTCATTTGCATAACAATAGTTTTCTGTATTTGGCCAAAGGAAAACTAACTGTTCACAATTATCAGCCTCCAATGTTACCACTTAATTGCTTAGTGTAGGTTTATTTTTGATACAGCCGTTACATTTTTTCCTCTCATACTATCCAGACCTCCTGTTCCTCAGCTTCCCATCTGAAGTTCTGATCTGTGATGCATCCTTTAAAGTCTTCATAAAAATGGGCATATCAGCTGTATTCCATTGAACTTGCAGTTGGGGATATATAAAGGCTATTTTCTAGATCAAAAATATGAGGAACTGTCTTTTCTGGTTCAGTTACAGAGAACAGAACACCTTCTGCATATCCTACTCCGAGGCACTCTTATTTCCTTTTACTTAGACTTTAATGAAGTTGCAAAATATATAGTATTGTAAAGAGCACAGAGGTTAATAGTGCAGTCATTCACAGCCGGGTTTTAAAAAGTAGATGTAACCAAAAAGGCAAAAATAGTGGAATTTAATTTAGGGAACAAGAAGGGGGTGGGGTGAAGAGGAGGTCTCAGCTCCAGTACAAGGGACCCAGTGGTAGGAACATAACAACAGCTAGGCTAAGACAGACCAAAGGTCTCTCTAGCCCAGTAGCATGCGTGGCAGAAGATGGCTACGGGAGAGCACAAGAACAGAGCAAACATACAGTGATACTCACACGTAAACACATGTATTTCGTGGCAGCTTGTGGCTTAGAGACCTCTTAAACAGAATTATTATCAACCAAAAAGGACAGTGTGTGTGGCAGGAGGAAAAGGCAGACCCTAATGTAGCAACTGCTGTCTGCTGGCCACTGGACACCCTGATATGCTCAAGAAAAGGGCATACCATGTACCTATATCACCACAGGTATCCTGGAAATCTTACAGATAGCACTCTGGCACCAAAGAATTGTTCTTCTGACCTACACTTTCCGTTCCTCTCACGAAAAGACACTGCCCCTCCTGCCACAGTCAGGACATTTTTCGGATGCTGTGAAATCTGAAGGATGTTACCTGAACAGTGGGGTATTGCAGCACACGCAGTAGTATATTCCCGATTCTGTGTTATTCAGATAGATCCCACTAAATGGCTTTTAAAAAAGGAAGGAAAAAAAAGAGAAGTTAATAATGCAGGTCTTTAAAAGCTCACCATCTGGAACAAGCATGTAGGAATCAGATTCAAAACAGGAGAAAAACCATAAAAAGAAGGCTTCACAGGGGGGCTTTGAAGAACAAACATTAGCAGTCTAAAGAAATGAAGGGGAGGATGCCTTTGGATTAATAGTGAAGACTACCCCCTGCCCCCAGAAACTTTGAGACCAGTCAGATGCATAAATCATCCAGGTACCAGGGCCGGAGTCATGACCTCCGAGGAACCTGTGAAATGTGCAGGATCCCAAAGACCAGCGCTCTGCTATGGAGTGCCACAACTTCAAAGTGGCTCTACAAAGGGACTCTCCTCCTCCCTGCATGGTCTGGAATTAGGATCCTTATTTTACAGATAAGGATTTGGGCACGGTTCACATGATTTAATCCCATGGTACATGCTCCGCATGTGCATAAGCCCTGGCTCTGGGCTAGGGACGCTGGCGCTCCACTCACAACGCTACGTGGCCTCCATCACAGAAGGAAGCAAAGCGCAGGGACAAGGTGGGTGGGTGATCTGGCACACGAGGGATAACCCGGCTCCTGAATGGAGTGCTATGTATAAGATTTCCATGGCTAATCTACATATGGTCAAAAAAAGGACACTACAGGACAAAAATATGATCTTCTCCCTCCCCTCTGGAGAGGCCTCCACTACTGCCACACAGACGGCTGAGCTGGCAGTAAAGTATCCCAGAAAAAAAACAAAATATGAAAAGAATGCAGAGTGTTTTTTCATCTGCAAACCAGCCTGGGTCAGAACAAAATCCACCCGGTTCAGTATGTTGGGTCTAACTTTCATCCACAGGAAGGCAGGGGAAAACCTGCGAAGCAACTGAGTGGTGACAGCTCCCTGAAGCAGGTTTTTCTCTGCCCAGCAGGCAGAGAAGGTGGCTTAACCTTGGACAGCATTAGCGCTTTTGCTTACCGGTTCAGTTCCTTTTTCTCTTGTAACATAGAATTGCTCTGGAGTCAATTGTTTTTTCCAGTCTGGAGCAACAGTTGTTTCGGCTTGTTTAGTCAGAGAGCCCATGTCTTCAATTAGATATAGAAAGATAATTTTTATTATTTTTAACACCGTTTTAACTTAGACTCTGTTGATGCTTTCCATGATCACCTCAATTCTCCCAAAGTTTCTATGGGTACAGACAGAGCACAGGAGGGCAGGTCAGGGACATAAGGGCAGGGGCGACTGCAGGACTGTGCATCTGCTTTCCATTCTGCGTGCTACGTAAAGAGAGCGGCTCCAGCACATCACTTGGGAAGGCTCTGAATGGAAACGGGCACCTACGACCCAAGGTACCATCCGCTCTCCCAGCACAGCCCTCTGTTCTGGCTTGGGATAACTGCCAGTCTGCTGGTGCTCCTTCCTCATCCCTGGGTATCGCTGAAAGGTTTGGTAGTTTGCCTCTTGGAAACCCTCAGAAACCAGAACTAATGCTTTTTATGGGCTATCGAAGACTAGCAACTTCCACAGGCCTCAGCGAAAAGTGGTGCTAAGAAGGAGCACTGGAAGAAAGCAACACCTGCAGCCCAAGAGAAGGCTACAGTTAAGTGGGTGGCACACAATAGGAGAGCAGAAGTCACCCATCACGGTGCAAACCTCCAGCACCGCCTGCTATGGGTCTGTACACACTGTGCAGCGCATTTATGGTGGTATGAGATTGGCAAAGAATTAATAGATTGGCTGAAAAACGACGAGTAAAATAGTTTCATTCCTTCCTAATCAAAAAGTCTGAGGTGGGAAACTACCTCCACGCTTATCTCCCACCAGCATAGCAGACGTGAAAAAATATCAGTTCCTGAGTGATGAACGCTTGGCTGGACTCATCTCTTGCAATGCTGAGATGATATTGGGGAAAAAAAAAAGGAATTTGAAAATTACGGTTTGACTGTAAAACTGTAGTTTAGCCTGCCAGTTCAAGAGAAATCCCTGCAGCGGGCTGACAGCCCTTTCCAGCCGGCTAGAGGACACCGGGGACGGGGATGCCCTCCCCTTGCAGGGCGGCTCCTGCCCTTTCCCCCCCACCCTGTCCCCATGCTCCGGGCAGAGGGTACCTGTGCCACCGCGGGCC